TCAAAGTTTCTGAAGACTTTATTCGATATTTTCTTCATACTCAACCTCATTCTCCGAATATTCAATAAGAAACTCTCCTTCAGTCTCCTCATCAGTTTCTGTTTCTGTTTAAATATCCGATTCAGTTTCTTATTTCGCGACAACCTTTTTTAGCATATATCAAATCATAAATACTCAAATGAATTGAATGATTCTGGCAGATCTGATGTGGGAACTTAAATATGGTTCCCAATTTCACCATGCAAATACAGCCATCCGTAGTTTTACCTGCAATATCTTCACTATCTATACCAAATTCTTTTAACTTTTCAATTATCAAAATGTTTAATGTTTCAGCAGAACTAGGAGATGGCAATCTCACCATTGCTAAACAATAAGTTCTGTCGTGATGAACATTTAAATTGTAGTATCTTATACCTCTATTGCTACACCATTCGTCACGTGTTAGTCCAAATTTTTCCCTTTTGCTTTCAATGCAGCCAATTCAGCGATCATTAAATATTTGGCTTCAGCATGAAACATAATATTTTCTGAAATTGTGGACGCTGACTTAGGCAAACTATGCCCATAATTTTTAAAAAGCATTCTTAGTGTTTCAGATTGAGTTATGGACCTAATCGAATATCCATCAATAAGAGCTGTCAACTTGGCAAAAAGATAGTTTAACGACATCTTAGTCAAAACTGGTCTGAAACTGAATGGTTTCAAATCTATTTTCTCGCAACTTTTTACGCGTCCAAATAGGCCTTTTTCGCTTTAAGTTTAAGCGATTCTGCTATGACATTTTTTGCATTCTCCATATTTCTTATCATTTACCACTTTATCAAAGTAATTTCACGCTTTCGAAACCATTTTTTTCTATGATAGAAAAAATATCAATTTGATTATGACCTCACACAGGGCCGGCGCGAGTAGGTATAACGTGGGGGGGGGGGGGGTGCTATTATAACTTTTGCCGACTAAAAAAAAAAAATTTATTACTCGTTTTCCAAAATTTGCCGACTGCCATGACGACATTTCCCGACTGTCTAGATTACCGACTAATCTATATTGAAAGGGTCCAATTTGCCGACTGAGGGTCCAATTTGCCGATTAAATATCATTGATGATGGGGGGGGTGTCACACCCCCCGCACGCCCCTATCGCGCCGGCCTTGACCTCACATATTTGTTTTTAATTATATTATAATTGTGAAATGTTGCCACATTTTAAGTTATTAAGTTATTTATTCTGATAAGTAAGTATAATTTTTATTACTTTTTATCACTGATAACATTTTATTGCACAATTTTGCCACAATGCTCAATGGACCGGATATTAGACTTATGGTGGACAAAATAATTTTGATCGTACGATATATGACACTACTTGTATAAAATGAAAGTATTATATGTTTAAAACTTACCTCGTTATTTTACGACCAGCCTTTGTTTATATTTTAAATAATGATCTAATGATCTTGGCTAAATATTTTTTTTTGTAAAGGTAAACCATTGAAAAGTTAAAATATATAAACTAATATTAAATTCGCATGATATTTTAAAAGTTGCTGTTTACTATATCTTTGTTCAAAAATTAAAAAATTCTTGCTTTATATTATGCATTACATTTTATTATACCGCAATTTTTGTTGATTTTAAAAAATACTAATACCAAAAAGATACTGATATACACAAAAGAGTTTTTGAAATAGTACAATGGAAAAGTATGAGTATGTTTTATTATATGGTTTTAAATAGAATAAACGTTTTTTAAAGTTTTTTTTATCGTCATCATAATGATGATAAAAAAAACCTGTGCACAATGGGTCAGGTGACCACCTGGTCAACTGTGCATTACTGTGCTTTATATTATGCATTACATTTTATTATACCGCAATTTTTGTGGATTTTAAAAAATACTAATACCAAAAAGATACTGCCCAGCCGGCATTATTACGTTATTTCAACGTTGAAATTCGGTTGAAGCGTTGATTCAACGTTGTTTAACTATGTTACAACGTTAAATCAACGTTACCGTTTAAACGTTGATTATTTAACGTTATTTCAACGTTAAATCAACGTTACAGTTTAAACGTTGATTATTAAACGTTATTTTAATGTCATTATTTCAATCATTGTTGACAAAAAATACGATATAAAATTTATGCGCGCGCAGAAATGGAAAAAAATCGTAAACATTATTTCAACGATTAAAGTTATAGAGATTTATAATGGAAAAAAAAGTAAATACTAAACTTATATCATATAGAATTTTCAAGAGATCGAAAACATGTTCAGACGATTTTCCTGAAGGAACATTATCGTTTAAAAAGAGATATTTCTTGTTTAACTTGGGCTACAATGCTCAAAGACTGATATTATTAAATGTAATTATAATACAACTTTTTCAAAAAATGATCCACTAAATTATGTTGAATTTAATGCTAAGCGTTGTTTTTTAATAGAGCATCAAGAATTAAAAAAGGAAATTGATAACTTTAAAAAAAACCTCAGCACGAAATAAAAAAATAAAAATTTATTTGAAAAATTAACTTCAACCACATCAGTTATTACTATGAAAACAGACAAACTTGTATATAAGCATAATCCAAACAAATCGTGTTATTGCAATTTACTTGTATACAAACATTTATTTTAAAAATAATAGATCTTGCGACTTTTATACTGGCCTTACATCTGTCAATGTGTTTCATCAGTTAGTGCAGTATCACCATTAATCAAAAGAGATAAAGTGATATTAAAAAAACATTTACTTCTGTTTTTTGAAATTTAAAAAAATCCTTAACTACTTGGACCAAAATAAATGTAATGCTGCAAAGATGAATTTTTAATGATGCTAATACTTGGATTATTGACAGCTGATTTTGCTGACAGGTTTAATATATTTTTGGGATTAGTGAATGCAATATTTTCTTCATTGTTGAAAGCTTCTAGCTCACTTTTAAAGCACATGGTTTTTGTTTCAAGTAAAGATGTTATAATACAGGCAATGCAAAGCAGATTTTAGAAATTAAATTATTCAGACTAACACTAAATTTCAGATATAACAGAATTTATTATGGAAACACCTTAAAATTTTGACTTACAGAAACTAACAGAGAATGAATACAAACATTACAACAATATAAAAACATTAGTACCCGTAGATCCAAATTCATCAATAATTTCTTTAAAAAATTTCTAAAGCTTACAGAAGCTAAATTTTGGATAAAAAAATTACATATCGCAACATTTATTTAGATTGTATTACAAAATACTCTTGTATAATGTATGATTAAGGCTTTAATATTAATTTTTTAATACAAATGAAGTGATTAATTAAATCCATTTTTATCAGTCACTTTAAAAATATGATGAGTATTTGTATAAAGATAATTAAAATTTCAAACAATATTATTAGCTTTACTTGTTTGTTTTTTTTAGGTGAATCAATTGCAATGATGGAATATCTTTAAAATGCTGAGGTAATCAGGCTTGGTCGGGAAGCGGGAGCGATCGCTCTCGATTGCTGACCACGTAAATAATATTTAGTTGCGAAAAGCTGGCCAGATTTTTTAGTCGTTTTGAGAACATTTTAAAAAGCAAAAAAAAAAAAAGCGACGAAGATTAATTGGACCGACGAGAGACAATTACAAAAAAAAAAAAAGTAGGCAAATAAAATATCTTTAAACGCGAAAAAATTTAAAGCTAAATAAATTACATTTAAAACAAATATTTTCGAAACATCGCTCTTTTATAATTTTTTTATAAAATTAAGCAATGTTTTTTATAGAAACATCAACTTTTTATAGAAACATACAACTGTCAACTTACAAGATTGTTTAAAAGGAAAAAAAAATTCTTTATTTAACTAAGTTTGCAAGTTTTAGTTTTACTTAAGCTTAATTTATTTTATAAATAAAAAAGTTAATTTTTTCAATACCTATTTTATGTTTCGCGTAGTTTGAAAAGTTTAACATATTTAAAGCGATTCTTCTTAGTAAGATAAACAAATGAAATAATTAAATCATTGAATTACTATAAGAATTTAATTATCAAGATAGAAATCAACTAAAAAGGTTTAAAATACTTAATGACCAGGAAGCGAAACTGCTTCACAATATCGCTGATGATGTTTAGTGAGTGGGCTTTTAAATTTTAATTAGTGTTTAAAGCAGAAAAAAGTATAACGAGTTTTAAGAATGGCAACTTAAGCAAAAATAATTAGAGTTAGTAAATCAATATCTAGAAATTTTTCTTTATATCTAATTATTTGCTATATATATTTGTGTTCTGTCGTGACCTCAGGCGCGATGCTTGTTCATCCGCGAGTTACTTTGTATGCGTTGTTTGTGTTTAGTAACCAGAAACTTCTTATATGTTTGTTACATAATTAGTTTTATTAACTTTAACGATTAAAACTTCATTATAAACACAATTATTTTTGTAAGTCTTTGTTTAAATCATAAAAATTGCTTTAAAAGATACATTACGATAAAAAATAAATACACAAAATTACATTTACTTAAAGAATACAATCTCTTTTAAAATAAAAAATAAGAATATACTAATAAAATCTATGATTTATAATAAACTTTGAAAATTTTAACAATTTAACTAATATATATTTAAAACATTTATTTTCGTAAACAAATAATATAAATTCTTAAAACAATGCTAAAAATCTCAAAACATAACAAATCGTGACTAATACAATTTCTAAAACATTTTAACAGAATACTCTAGAACTTTATTTCACTTAATCAGCGTATTTTTTGAACCAATAGTTGAAACCAATTTTGAACCAATTAGTTTGTTCGTTAATTTGGCGGGTTTTTAGTGTTCGCAAACATTCTTTTTATTCTTTCGCACAAAGATGTTTTAAGAACATTCAAGTTTTTTATGTTTCCATGTATGTCCGTAAAACAAAAATTTTTTGTTTCGTACATAAACTTAAATGTTCTCAAAACGACTAAAAAACCTGGCCAGTTTTACGCAACTAAATATAATTTCCGTGGTCAGTATTCGAGAGCGATCGCTCCCGCTTCCCGACCAAGCCTGGGTAATCAAAATAATTTTTAATTATTCAGGAATTTTAAGGATTAAATTATTTAGCAAAAAAATTGTTTGATAATGAGTTCAATTTAAATTGAAAAAAAAATTAATATTAGTTCTCGCACAATTAATATCAGTTCTCTTATCTATTAAAATTTAGAATATTTTCCAACAACTTTGTGACCTCCATGATTATAAAGGGGAAATGTGGAAATATGCTTTAAGAGCACTAATTTATAAAATGTAGTGAAAGGTATACCTTTATAAAATATGTAAAACTTTTTTATTCTCGTTTTTTATATATTCAAAAATTTCTCCTTGTGTTTTTTTGTTTTTTTTCTAATTATTTTTTATTAACAGCTTCTATTAAATACGATGGAGCGACTGAAACTTTAATTGATGGCATTTTGTCTAACGTCTAAAAATGCTCTTTATTTCGATAAGGTGGCGGAAAAGAAAAAAAATTAAATTGATTGATATAAATTTATATTTATAAAAATCGATCTAAAATTTCTTTATTGAAATATTTACATATTTATTTATTAATTATTTCAATAAAGAAATATTTTCTTTTTGTCTGCTAAAATTTTTTTTTCAGTGTTAATTCAACATTACAAATTAAAACTCAATTATGAAAAAAGCCTAGAATTGAGTTGATGTTTTAAGTAAAATAAGAAAAGCCCAAAAAGTAACTGATGTAATATTTTTATTTTTTGATAAAAAAAAAGTTCTAATAATGTTTAAAATTGGTATTAATATTAATGTTTATAAGATGAAGATGAGTAAAAAATAAGTAATGTTTATTAGATGAAGATAAGTAAAAAAATAAGTTACAAGTTATTTTTTGGTCTTGAAAATTGTTTGAATGATAATTTATTATTTATCAAAATGTTTTCTTTTTTAATTTTTGTTGTTTTTATATTTTAATTAAAAGTATATATTATTGTGTCATATATTATAATATACCTTATATTATACTATTATATTTTATATTAATAATGAGTATTTTTGTTTTTTTGTATTTCTATTTTTTTTCAATATTCCATAATAATCTTATGTAGATGTTTATGTTTTAGCAACCTAGTATTCTTTCATTATTTGTCTTTGTTATTGAGCCTTAAGTTATTTGAACATAATATATTCAGAACTCTGCTAAATAATAGAGTAATAAATAAATTAATAAAAATGAGTTTAAAATATAATAAATTTATAAAATAAAGAAAATCTTATCTTTGCTTATAATGTCTACTAATATTATTGTTTAGCAAGTATCATGGTTATAAAATGTTCAAATTTAGCTAGTTTAATTAGGCCTGTTAGTACACTTATATTATGGTTTCTTCATTTTTTATTAGTTCATGTAATTTTTTCAAAATCGAATATGCGGAAAGGAGCTATTTGGAATGAAGATTTACAAGAAGAAGTAATTCCATCTGATTGGATTAGTGATAAAACTGTTTGTTGGCTTCCAGGTACCAAAGCATTGACTGCACTAAAATGCAGAGAAGAATTGGCTCAAGTTTATACAAATAAAAACTAAATTCTCTTTAGGTATTACATCTATATATTACAATTATTATTTTTTAAATAATGTGGTAAGAAGAGTTATTTTGTTGATACAAAATATATAACTATTTGTATAACTATTTCAACTCTAAAAGAAAGCAAACAGTATTGTGAAAATTTTAAATTCACAACTACAAAAGAAAAATGTGATAATGAGAATGTTGACAAGTGGATGCAAGATTTGCACACAAGTGGAAACTTGGATGCAAATTTTCCACTTGTGTGGTTTGGATGGTTCTCCACAATATAATATATCTCTACAAGCATAATATTAGATTTACTTCATGTTTTTTTACAGATAAATCAACTACAGTTAATTGGTGGAGTTACCTCATTTATAATCAGGGTGTGTGCAGCTCCTCTAAAATCCTCTTAAGTCCTCTTTTTTTAAAACCACTTCTAAAATCCTCTATTATCCTCTAAAGAGGTAAAAATTTGATCAAAGCTCCTCATTAATTCTTCCTTTTAATTTTTGATAGATGTAAAATGTTCAAAATACCCATTCTCGGTCTGCAAAACTGGTTAACGCCTTAAAGTGCATGGAATTGTAAAAAATTGCTTTAAAAAATGCATGCTATTTAACATAACAAATGACATTATTTGATTCCTGTCCAAGCCCCATAAGTGTATAAACATGGACGTTAAACCATTAATAAATGGCCACATAAAATTTCTTATAAAAATTTTATGTGGCCACCCCAAAAATTATTTTTCAATGTTAGAACAGGGATGCCAGATATTTTACGATATGCGGTAGCCAGAAATATATAATTAAGTAGCCAGAAATAGCCAAAAGTGGCCAAAAAGTAGCCAAATTGTCCGCGATGGCATTGGTTTAATTTTGAAAACGTATATCTTATTGGCTATAATAAGACAATCGGATAAATTTTAACCAATGATAATTTAGATCATGTCAACTTACCGTAAAAACTGTCGTTATATATATTTTATGTTGTTTCATAACCGTACTTATAAAAATAAATTAAAATATAAAAGCAAGTTAAGTTAACTAGTTAAATAAATAAAAACAGTAAATTCTTAACTATTTAATAGTAAACAATTATTATTATATATTTTTTTATCAAAAAGGTTAAATCTTAAAAAAAAAATCAAAGTTTTTATTTAATTTAATATATATCCTCTTTATAAAAGTCATTTTAAAAAATGCCTCATACTATAATACCACATATTTACCATTTAAGACGAAAGAAAACTTTGCGTTGAGAGTTTTTTATTTTTTGTTCTATTTTAAAAGGTTTTTTTATATAACTTGAATAGTCCCTAGAAATATAGTAAATTTTATTTGAAAGAGTTTTCCCTAAACAACCTAAACAAATAATTTAAGTTAACATACTAAATAAAACTTTTGTTTTGATTTTGGTAGACATAATTATACAATATTAGAGCAAGCGTTGTTGGTAATAAAAAAAATTTAATAACTATTTCTATATAGATTGCTTTATTATTATATTAATTTGGGGTAAAAATATTCATTAAGAGAAATAAAACCATTAACTTTTTTTTTTTAAAGTTTTCTATTACACAATACTTAATCGTTAATCGTCCTATATATCAACTTCAAAGTCATCAATATTTTCTGAAAATGATGAGTCTCCAATATTGGATTTGTATACTATATCCGAACTAAAATTAGTCAGCATTTTTTTTGATATAGTGAAATCTTGACAGCACTTTCCAGATAAAATTAGTTCCGATCTTATTCTTACTACAGCATCTAACATATTTATTGAAATTCTATTTCTGGCTTTTGTTTTAGTGGCAGATACAAGGGAGAATATCCTCTCAACAACAGCATTGCTAACAGGTGTTATCAAACAAGTTAAGGCATAGTTTGCAAGGTTTTTAAAAGTGTTATGCTGGAGAACACCTAGCCAAAACTGCTCAGTATCAGTTGGAAAACCACCTGTTTTAAATGGTTCTTCTTCTTTCCAATCTACAAATAGAATTTTTCGATACTGTTCTTCTATTAAGCCCAAGTCATCTTTTAATAGGTGTAAAAATGGCAGTTCAGAAATATCGGGTCTTGATTCTTTACTTAAAATAATATCTGGATTCAAGGTCGATAAATTTTTAAATGTCTCCATTGATGATGGTAGTCTAGATGTTACTTGAGTATAAGCTTCATCTAACACGCACAAGCATCTTTCTTTTAAATTTTGAATTTTCTTAATAGAGTCAATGCTATGATTGCAATTTTGTAAATAAGAGTCACATTCTTTTATAAATTTAGCACCAAAGTCAACCTTATATATACTCTTCTTATTGCTGTTAAAATCATAAATTCTATGATTAAGGCTCATTTGAAACAAATTCATTTGTTTGTAAAGTTCATACGGATCAGCTTTTGTTTGCTGAAAGAGACTATTCATTCTTTCAAATTCCTGAACAATTGGTGTTATAAAGTGAAAAAATAAAAAATTTTCAACGTCTGACAACATTTCTTTTAAAAGTCTTGCTTTGAATCTGGACCTAAAATTAGAAGGTGATAGTTCAGCACAAATAAAATAGGCTTTAAGCTCTTCCCAATTCATTAAAATATTAAACATTACTTTTCCACGAGCAAGCCACCGTGTAAAAGAAGATTTTTCAAATGGTAAAGGGGCATATCGAGCTGTCTCAGATTCCGTAGCAGCATTTATTACATTAAACAAATCGATGTAATTTTCACGTCTTAATGAGCTATTACAAAACCAATGGGGTATTTCTGACAATAAAAATGCAATATTTGAAGGCAATTTAGACACTGGGTGTTCAATGCACAATGCTAATGAATGACAGATGCACTTAAGCTGAACACAGTTAGGTGAAACTTCTTTAATTCTTGTCCAAACAGAATTATTACATCCTGTCATGTTTGATGCACCATCTGTAGCAAATCCAATACAATTAGTAAGACTCTGACCACATTTTTTTATTTCTTGATCAAGCAAGTGAAATATATTTTCTCCTGTAGTCTCATGGACTAGAATTAATCCCATAAATTTTGTCACAATTTCATTTTTTAAAACACTAAAAAAACGAGCTAAAATGCACAAATGTTTGTTTGCTGAAATGTCAGTAGACTCATCTATTATTAAGGCATATTTTTTGTTTTTAAAGTCCTCAACAACATCATCTCTCAATGAAGGAGAAATAACATTTTTTATCAATCCCATACACTTAGTTCTATGGATTTTTACATGTTCAAGTAAACTTCCACGTCCATAAACAACAAAAACTTCATTTAAGTGGTCAACAGTACGCACAGCACAGTGGCAAGTCATAGTTAAAGCGATGCGTAGTTCAGCTTTTTTTATATCTTCTGCTAAATTTATATCGGTAAAACTCTCAATTAACGGAGTACTTTGTTTGCGTTTCAAAGATTTGTTATGTTTGACAAGATTGGTCATTTTGGGCTTCATAATACAGTGACACCATTTACAATATGCTCTATGGGTACCATCTTCAACCATTTGAAGCCATAAAAACTTTTGCTGCCATATCTTTTTATATTGGCGATTAACATCATAAGAAGTCTTCCATTTTTCTGAAGACATACTGATAAACTTTTTTAAATTCTAAAAATAAATAAAATTAAACTGCTGTTCTTGCTTTGTCTTTTATTAGAATTTATATTAGAAGTTAAAATATAACATTAAATATATTCAACTATATTATCATTTTTATACATTATATCTTTATACATTAATATATATTATACTTATTGTACATAATATACATTAATAACAATAACATTGTAAAAGTTTAAAAATAACATTATTTTACACTTAATAAAATAAAAATCTTAGTAAGCTAATTAAAAAATAAAATATAAATATATTTAAAAAAAAATATATTGCTAAATTGCCGTTTGGCCGATTATTTTTTGCGGTGGCCAGATTCACGGATTTGGCCACCAAGTGGCCAATCTGGCAACCCTGTGTTAGAAATGTTTTATATTTTGATTATTAATTTATTTTTAATATATTAAAAAGGTTGTTTTATTTAAATTAAATATTTGAAAAAGTTATTAATAACCAACTAACAGTTATATTATTTTTTATAAATTCAGAGTATTTTCGAAAAGTTTTATGGCCTCCATGGATATGAAGGGCAAAGGTGGAAAGATATGTATTAAGAACACTAATCTATATGGCGTTGAAAAAGATATACCTTCATAAGTTGTAACACTTTTCCATTCATTATTTATTTTTTAAATCTTCCCTTTTTGTTTGTTTTTTATATATTTTTTTATTTACAGCTTCTTATATTGTACTCAATGGACCAAAAGAACCCTCGGTTAATGGAACATTGTTTGACTTTCTAAATTACGCTTTATTTCAAAAAGGTGGTGGAAAAGAGAAGAAATTTGTGTAGATTTCATTCAATTATATGTAAATATATGTAATATTTGAATATGTGTTTTTGAATAAAACAAGTTTTATCTCTTTCTTTAATCATACCTAGCTATTTTAACTAAACTAAACTGAAAAAGTTCTAAATAGTCTAAGTATAGGCTATGAATAGATTTAATATCCATAATATACCTTGATAATGTACAGCAACACTAATGAACATGCATAGTACGTTTTGATGGTGATCATATTTTGACGCACATAGCACGTTTACATACATATATACATTTTGACATACATAGCACGTTTTGATGGTGAAAAAGTGTTTTACAGTCGTTTAACGTTGATAAATCCACGTTAAAAAACTATCATTTTAAACGTTGTATCAACGTAAATTCAACGTTGTTGTAACGTTTTTTCGCGTCGAATTAACGTTGATATAACGTTTGAATCTAACGTTGATTTAACGTTGATAAATCAACGTTGAAAAAAACTTTCATTCTAAACGTTAAACCAACGTTAATTCAACTATAGGTTTCAACGATATTTCAACGTTATTTCAACGTTATTTGCCGGCTTTATTTTGCCAACGTTATTTCAACGTTATTTGCCGATTTCATCATCATCATAATGATGATGATGAAATCCTGTGCACAATGGGTCATGTGATCACCTGGCCAACTGTGCATTACCATTTGCTTTGCGATGTATATTAGTGTTGTTGTTAAACAAAGAGAACGTTTACACTTAAAACAATTTTTAAAATTACAATTTACGATTGTAAAAACCACGTACAAATAAAATAATAATTCAATTATTTTACGAGTAAAAAATTGCTAATTTTCTAAAAAATTCGTCGAAGTTTCTCGATTTCTCATAAACTCCTAAACTACGAAAAACCGAGAAAAATCTGACGAGACGGAGTTCCGAATGGATCCACTGATCAAGAGCGAGTTGAGTGAATTGAAGCTAAAGACTCGCGTTATTAACTACCATCAAAAATTATACCAAGAAAGTAGTGAGAACAAAAAAATCAAAAGAATTCATCCATCAAATTCGATAATACACTTCATTACTACTTTCGCCTAAAAAGATCTAACTCATTTGGACAATGTAACAATTTCAAGATCTTTCTTGGCTTTTCTGTTTGTGGCTTGACTGCTTCAATCCTTGAGCTCCATCGTGTAACAGAAAGTTTATGTAATGATTGGTCTGTCTCCTCCTGAAGAATTTTCCAACGATCTGGGCTGCAGCTGAACAGATAACTTTTAAATATTTTTAAAATAGTATTTTGCAGGAGCCTATAATTCAATAGCGTGTCCTGGACATAAGTTCAAACCGTGAGCAGAGCAAGGAATAAAAATTGTTTGTAGATTATTCTGCCTAATCATAACTTGAACTCCATTGTAAATATCTGCCCTATTGGCGCCGTTGTCGTAGCCTTGCTTAGCAATAAACTCCAATAAGTTTTCATTCCCATTTTTGAACAACTTTTAATTAGATTCTATTTGCAAACAAAAAGTTATTAAAAAAGTAATCCATATTTATAAAATTTAAAAACAATATATTGTTTTTAAATTTTAACTTATATTTTGCATTATTTTATTTATAATTTGAAATTCAAAATTAAAAGTTATAATTAGATAAAATATGGATTACTTTTTTAGAAATTTTTTAGAAATTTAGCTTTTAGAAGTGAGAATATATTCTCACTTCTAAAAGCTAAATTTCTTGAAGCTAGAAAAATTGTGACATATAGAATGCATTACAAAATTACTTTCCGTCGCTTCGTTTCATCTCCAATTTTGTTTCTTTTCTAAAAGAACTTTTATAACCCGTTAAATAAGAAAATAATTATTACTTTATTATGCAAACTAAAGGCCAATGAAAACGCTTGCGCTCGAATGGAAAATGAAAACCTTGTAAAGTAATAATATTCCTATTTTAAATGTAAACAAAGTTTATAAGGAGAACGAAATTAATAGGTATTAAGTAAAATGCGAACTGCAAACCGCCAACTGCGAACTGGTAAAATGCGAACTTTTTTGGAACCATTGTCCTATTGGTTGTTAATGATGTAATGTTTTATTTCCGTTGAAATGTTCATTTAGCGGTATATTTTAAGGACTTTTAAGCAAAATAATTAATTAAAAAAAAAATAAAAAGAAATTAAGTGAAACTAGACAAATACAATATAATTTTATATTATTTATTACTATTTGATAGACTGCCTGCACAAACGAAACCCTCAGTCGATTTAGCAGCACACTGTTGCGAATCAGGCTATAAGATAGTCGATGTACCAGCACTCCGTTACGAGTCAGGCTGTAAAATAGTCAATGTATCAACACTCGACGCATGTTTTACAGTTAAAAAATTAAAATTTTATTTTAAATAAAGCTTTAAAATAGATAATTAAGAAATGGAGAGTTTTTTTATCATTCATTTTATCATAACAATAATGGTCTTTAAAATATAATGTTTTGGTTCGCAAAAAAGTTTGCATTTTACCGGTTCGCAGTTCGCGGTTCGCAATTTGCATTTACCGACAACCAAATTAATACACAAAATTTAAATATGTTATCGGCTACATTTTTTATTATTAAAATAATTTTTTTAGGCATATATATGATGCCCCATAGACTGTGATGCCCGGGGCAAACTACTTCAATTACCCCTCCCTCTTGGCGTTGGCGGCCCTCCTCTGGATGTCGCTACTTATTTTCAAGATACTTTTATGGCTGGCTAAAAATAAATTTAATTTCGGCGACGGTTAGCGGTTATGGGGCGGCTCGCGGGCTTAGGCCGTAGGCGTGCTCCAAATCCGCAGCTTTAGGCCCACTTTTCCCTTTATACGGTCTCGTCACGTAACTCACGATAACTTCACGTCACGTCACGTAACTCACGATAAGTCACGTAACTCATACGATAGAGAATAGGCAAATAAGAAAAATTTTGTTCGCAGACAAAATTTACCTTTTGGTGACTATTAACAACAGGGTGAAATTACAAATGTTCATTTTTGCCCCATTGTTCATGGTAGCTTCCCCCCTTCCAGATGAAGCCCCATTGTTCATGGTAACCGCCCCCCCCCGCCTTCCCTTCCAGATGTATACCATATGGTATACCATACATCGGCAAATGACTTATTTTCAAAAGCGCCTTTTTGTTATGCATTCATTTGTCAAGTTTTACTACTGGTTATTTATCTCAATTTCAAATAGACCACAAGACAGAAGATAATTGCATTTTAGTCAACACGTATTTTTCATATTTTGCTAAAATAAATACAAATCAGCCAATACTTGTATGATACAAGTGTTCGCTGATTAGTATTTATTTTAGTAAAATATTCTGTTAACTTTTAAGTTTTTAAATGAAAACTAGAATGTCCAGTTTTTTAGTTTCATATGAAACTATAGAATGAAACTTTTTATATAGTTTCATATGAAACTATATAAAAGAATTGCACATTCTAGTAATCATTATGAAACTTCAAAATTCATCTGTTTTAAAATTTTTAAATTAGATTTGTATAAAACCATTAGTATGTTTTGAAAAAATTGTATTCGGTCATAGGTTACTATAAATAATATTATGCAGCAGCCATATAGGTATGAAGACAAAAACGTTTAACCCAATTTTAATAATCTCCTAAACACTACAAAAAATTAATTTAAGATATTATATATATATATATATATATATATATATATATATATATATATATATATATATATATATATATATATATATATATATATATATATATATATATATATATATATATATATAAAATATATATATATATATAATTTTATATTCCCTACTAAATACATATTGTTCTATGTTTTCCTTTGTATTAAATACCCAGGAATATAGTACAGATTTTTTATATTATAGAAGTTCTAATCAATAATTTTAAATATCTAATCTGAAGAATTCAACAATATTAAGCTTGGTATTTGTTTTAACTTGAATTTTAATTTGCTTTTTAATAAAAGTTAAAAAAGCTTAAATGGGTGAAGAATATCTTGGAATTCCCAGGTTAATGTGGGAAGCTGACCATGAGTGGAGGGCAAGAAAAGCTTTTATTGATACTAATAAGCAGCATTACAATGGTGACCGTCTTGCATCATTGTCAATGTCATGGGCAAACTGGAGGTTTATGGGTTGCTCTTATGGACCTGAAGTTCAAGGTTAGTTAAGTAATTTTTAGTTTAGATTTTAATAAGTTCTTTATAATATTTCAGTATGATTCTTATACATTTGTTTTGTAGTTTTTGTAGTTATATAAAAAATATTAAAGTTATTATTATTTACATCAAGATAAATAAAGGCACGCTATTTAAATAATGGATCAATTATTTATTTATTTTGGATTTTATTATTGAAACACTGTGTAAATTTTATTATTAAAACACTGTGATTTTCTAATAAATATTATATACATAATAAATATCATATATATATATATATATATATATATATATATATATATATATATATATATATATATATATATATATATATATATATATGTATGTATATATATATATATATATATATATATATATATATATATATATGTATATATATATATATATATATATATGTATATATATATATATTAGGTACGTGAGCATCGCGTTTTACGGAACAGAATTTTGTGCTAAAATTCTGTTCCACGTTTTTCGTAGTCTCTTAAAAGTTAGAGTGCTTGAGGAAGGCCTTGTGGAATAACTTTTTAGTATTCGTTATCAACATAGATTATTTTTAGAAAGAAGAATAGTTGAAGCATTAGTTCGATTGTTTTTTAATTATAATTACTTAATTTATTAACGAGTTTATTGATGTCAAAATTTTGGTTGTACTTCTGTGGTGAATTTAATGTCCCGGATATAGTCTTTTTTTTTTCTATCCATTTTTTTAATTAAATTTATTCATTTATCTATGCACCTGCCAATTTTCGTTGAAAAATATTTTGTAGCAGTCAACTTATTTCTTGCTGCACTTTTGTTACCTAATTTACATTTTACCTGATGTTGGCGCGGGAGACAGAGGGGTCCATTGATTGTTTTTATTTATATTTATTTTACATATATAGTATTCATATTAGCAATGTTTGACTTATGTCATAAATTGGTATTGTAAACCTAGATATTTTAGAATAAAAATATAGTTAAAAGTTTGTACATTTAAAAGAAATTACTTTAATAAAACGATTTTTAGTAAATATTAAAATAAGACTTGGATTTTATATTTGATTTAGAAATAAAATGGAGGAAGAAAATAAAGGTTTCATCTAGTATTTCATATCATATTCATAATAAGAATTTGATGCGAATTAAATTATTGATGATTCATATCTAATTTGAAGATTGAACGTTGTTTTTATTTAATAAGAAATATCTTTATGGATAAGTTGTTTCGATATAAATTTATTAAACTGTTTTTAAATTATCTGGCCACTATCTAAATCTTTATGTAAAACTTAAATATTTTTTTTACTGTTTTAGATGCCCAAAGTTGTAGTGCAGCCGACAACAATGTTGTCGGCTGCAACTTTGGGGATCTACTACAACTTAGGGGATCTAAAACAGTGAAAGAAATATTTTTTTATAACTAACTGATGTTGTCAACATCAGTTAGTTACTTTCTGTATTCAATAGCTTAGTAGTTATTAAATAGATGATATTATAATATATGTTCTCTATATATATATATATATATATATATATATATATATATATATATATATATATATATATATATATATATATATATATATATACATATATATATATATATATATATATATATATATATATATATATATATATTTATATATATATATATATATATATATATATATATATATATATATATATATATATATATACATATATATATATAAATGATATTAGTTTTCTAATACAGTTCTTTATTATGCCTGTGTAGATTGTTGTCTAACAAAATTATTTCTGGTTGTATTTTTGTATACTTAATACTTACATTTTTTTAAGTCACTCTTTTTTTTCTGTAGACAATTTAGAACAAACAATCAGAAATTTTGAATTGTTTTAGTTACTATATCATTTAAAGTATTTGTATGCTGTGTTAGTATTCCTTGTTGAATAAATGTTTTGATTTAAAAAAAAAATTTCAAAAGATTTAAGTTTAAGAAAAAAGATTGTTAAATGGTCAATTAATGTAGCACATAAAAACAGATTTACAAATCAACTGCTTCAATGCAAAGTGAGAGATGAGATTTGCCAAAGACAAAAAATCAAGCGCCATAAAATGGATGAAAAAGAAAAAAGAAAGTTAGAGCGTGAGCTATCCAAATTGAGTTTTAAAGAAATTATTAATTCATGCAAGCGCTTGTCCAATGACCAACTATTTGATTTAGAGGATGTCATGTCAGATAGAATTGTTTGAAAGAAACTAGAACATGAATGGTACGATCCAAAAACATGCAAAAGTGCTTTATATAGCAAAAGAGTAGAAAAAGTTAATTAAAAAAAAAATATGTTTATTTACACCATTTCTTACTGGAAAGATGATGAAACTGATATTAGAGCTGTTGACTATTGCATGAAAAAGATCCAGCTTGCTGCTGATGTTGTTTCCAGTGAGTTACAATTTAATTAATTTAATAACACTGCAAGTGTTGTGACTTGTCAAAAATATGTTGCAAGTGTTGTGACTTTCATAAATAATGTTTATTTTGAAACAGGAAATTTGTTTAATAACCGAAGAAAATGGTTAGCTCGTTAACCACACTGTATGGTTCTGGTAATGTGAGAATCACATGAAAGACAATAATATAGGTATTTGCTATACTTGGTTATAAAGATGACATGTTTTTTAAAGCCAATTGACTTAATTATAGCCCCACAATAGTAGTTTTATAATTTATTTAGTAATATATAACCAATTAAATAATAATATTAGGTTAGAGGGGGAAGGGGCATTACAATGCCTCTTTCCCCTTTAAAACATCATCAACATATCTACTATGAGTTTTACATTCATCTTCCATATTTGATGGTTGTCTGATATGAATTTATTTTTTAATTTATTTCCAATTTCATAATTTCATTTTTAAATTTATTATTCAAATTTTGAAAACAGTAATTGTATATATTTTTTAAGGATGGGTGGGGGGGGGCATATGCCCTCCTGTAATAGAA